TTTTATATCCTAAATTTGGGAATATAAACAAAATTGTTGTATTAACACTTATCTCTTAAAAATAATTAATATTTTATCTTAAAAACGTTCAAGTTTTACATTAAATTCGATAACTATTTACTTGCCAAAATCTTTATTTTTACATTAATAAAATTGTGGTGAACATATTTTAACAATTTTTTAGTATCATTATGTCATCTGATTATTACACAATATAGCTAGCCAGGACTATTACAGTTTTCTATATCGGATACGATTGTTTCTGATATAATTGAGACACTGAAATTACACATTTCGATATTGTCTTTGTCCATGTCTTTCAAGTAACTTGATTTACGGATTTACTTTGGAACCCATAGGCCTCATTACTTTAAGAGAAGTGAATCTTAGCCAATTCTAGTAAATTTCGACAATATCGTTGTTTCTTTGGGTAAAAATAAATTGAAAAATGGGGTATAGTCATCATTTTGACAGGGAGAATGTAAACTCGGGTTACGCTAACCACAGGATTTTTGCGCAAAATACGTTTCCACGTTGTAGGCTTTCGGCAGCGGTTCGAAAAAATAACCCTCATCAGTCCGGCTACGCTGACCACAGTATTTTTTACAAAAAGATCCATATTTCAAACCGAAGTTATTCATTAATTTATATCTGAAAATTTGAAATCTTTATTTTAAACTAACGCTTAATTGTTTGACCACACGTGTGTGTTAAAATGTTTTGCTTTGGGTTAAGCGTTTGGACACAATAACCCAAAATTATTGTACAAATAACCTAGTCGTACCCAACAAAATACCTTTTGCTTGTTCAAATTTCGATTGTAACTAAACAGAAAATTGATGAAAAAAATTTGGAGGATTTTCGATATTGGATACGGTAGCACGAAATGTCACAATCTACTTAATTGTTGTTAATATGGCGACGAAAAAGTGACAATGGAACTACCTTCTTTTTTGTATCATGGTTCTGAGCATGGCGCAATAAACAGGTGAAGTAATAAAACAGCTTTCTCCCTTTATTTTCTGACATTCGGCTGCCTTATAGTCAAATTTTAAAGGCAATTTTTCAAATAAATAAAAATCTTTCCTCTCGCTCTAATTACTTCACCTGGTATAATTCCGCCATGGTTCTGAGTAGCTTTTCAATAGTTCTAGATTTCCTGCAATGGAAAAAGAAAGTTCTGCAAAGTGAAAAAGTGAAATTTAAAAAAAAAAATCTAAATTAAAACTGTTCTAAGTTCTGAAAATAATTCTATAGTTCCTGAAAAAGAAAACCAAATTTTGCAAAATTACGCTAAAAAGCTTTTCGAATATTAAAATAAAAAAAATAAAAGTTAAAACTGTTCTAAAAAGCTTTCCAATGGTTCTAGAGTTCCTGAAAAGAAAAAAATGTTTCTACAAAATTACACAAAAAAAGAATTTTTTCAAAAAAGTCGAAAAAGTTGACTGAAAAAAAGTGGAAATTAGAACTGTTCGGAGTAGCTTTTCGATAGTTCTAAAGTTCTTGAAAAGGAAAAAAGAGCAGCAAAATTACGTCGATAGAAACATTTTTTTTTCAAAAAAGTCGGAAGTTTACTCTTAAATAAATAAAAATAAAAGTCGAAAAAGTTAAATGTTTGAAAAAAAAAATAAATATTCAAACCGTTCTGAATAGCTTTTCAATAGATCTAGATTTGCTGAAAAGAAAAAAAGATATTTTTTCAATTAATTCGAAAAAGCTGAAAACTTATCAGGAATTCTGGAACTACATACTGAAAGGCTACCCAGAACATTTTTTTTTATTTTTTTCAAAAAGTAAAATTTTTCCACTTTTTCGAAAAAATCCTTTTCCGGTATAATTTTGCAGAACTTTCTTTTTTTTCAAAAATTTAAATTTTTTGAATGAAAAATTTGTTTCGGATTTTTTGCAGAACTTTCCTTTTCCTTCTCAGGAACTCTTAAATTATTGAAAAGCTACTCAGAACAGCTTTTTTGTCTTCTTGCGTCATACGGTATGCCAACTTCCCAGGCATAACTTTAATGTTTGCTCTCGAGTATCAAGACACTTTCAACCTTTATTTTTGAAGCCATGCAAAACTAATTTTGAATTAAACGAATCATTCCATTGTTTGTGCCAAGATTTTAACTCTCATTCCAGGACGTTTGACTTTTCTCCCACAATAAATGAAATAATGTCTTTACCATATCCAAATCAGCTGATGAATTTAACTCCGTAGCTGAATAGTTTTAGAGCTCGCCACATAACCAACTCCTAATTTTCACAACTCGAATGAATAAAAACAAACGCAAAAAAAAATAAAAAATTATAAACAAATGTCAAAAAAAAAATTATAAACAAACTGTTATCGAAATTCAAATTGAATATTTGCTAGTAGTGTAAACAGCCATAATTTGAAAACGATATTGAGGGTTGAAATTGCGCAATTTGCACGTGGCACAGTGGTCTGAGAGTGGCAGAAAGTCCAAGTTTCGAAATGTCTTGAAATAGATAACTAAGTGGTCGGCCAGACTCTTGACATGCCTATTAACATGATCTAAGTCCTTTTCAGGAGAAAAAATGGCACTAGTATTATTCAAAGGGCACTTGATGCCGGTGTTGTATGAATCGTATTTTTAACCGACTTCAAAAAAATGAGGAGGTTATCAGTTCGTCGGAATATTTTTTTAATTTTAAATATTTTTATTATAATTTTTTTTTTTTAATTTTAATTTTTTTTTTTTTTTACTTTTTTTAGATTTCGATAATTCTTTTTTTCAGAAAGGTGGTACCTCAAGGGTGGTTCCATACTAATTTTGTTTAGATGCGTTAACTTGATCGTGAAGAAATTAACGACAATCTTAAATTTTTATATGAGAAATTAAGTCGGTTTTGTTTTTTGCTTAAAAATTACTTGTTACGTAAAAATTCAAACAAGCATTTCACGGAGGCACCCTGAAATTGTGCATATGGAAACTGTGCATACGAAATAATGCATATGAAAAAAACCGAAATAATGCATATATGCACAGTTTCGGTTGAAAACCGAAATAATGCATATGAAAAAGCATTTCACGGACTCAAGACTGGCAATTCAGTTTTTATTGGGTTTGTTTTAACGACAATAGTATGCAAGGGTTGCTCCATTACAGGGTTCAATCATTTTTCCTAGTCCTTTCAGAGTTGAGAACATCCCATTAAATTCCATTAAAAAATTTATGCTTGATGTTACTAAAAAATTGCGTTAATTTTTTGAGAATTTTTTTTTTGTTGAAGGTGTTTTGCAGTTTTTCCTTACAAAGTTGTTTGTAACACTTTTTTTTTGTTTTTTGGAAGAAACTGCGTGAAAAGAATTGCCAAAAATCAGTGGTAAGTCGTAGCTACTTCAAACTTGCACTTTATTATAATAAAATTAATTTTGCACACTCAAACAAATCCTAAAAAATCTGCTGAAAAGTTGAAAATTTACAAGAAAATTTATTGAGTTTTCCCCGAGTTTTGCACAAAGTTTAGAAATTATGATTTTATATTTTTGTTGTAGTATGAACTACATATATTTCTATAAAAAATTAACGGGGAAAAAATGAAATGAAAATTGTTGCATATATGGTAAAAAAAAATCTCTGTACCAATACCTTTTGCCGGCAGTGTATATGATTTAACGCATTCGCATTGACTTTTAATGAGAGATGGGAATTACAATGTTCATTAAACCCCTTAGTAAACTATTGAAACCAGTTCCAGCTGCTAGAACCTGCTGGCATTCCGTTTATCTGGACTGGGCTGTCGCAAAAAGTAGCAATTGATATCCGATTTTACGGAAACTTGCCATTTCGGATCTTTTCCTAGAAATCAGGAAGTACAAAAAATGGCATAGATTGGCGAATGGTAGATGTTATCTGAATTTAATAAAACTCGGTTTTTATAAAAAAAAAAAATTTATAACTGATGGACACGTCATTCGGCCGACCATTTTACAGATTTGAGTTTTTCCGGTTAAGACTAAGATATCGAATTTTATGAAAATCAGATCACATTTCCTATTTGCGCGCGCTAGTGTAGTGGGCGTGGCAGTTTGCCAATCTATGCGATTTTTTAAGAGTTCTTCATTCCTAACCAAAAAATACGGCAGATAAAAAATCACAGTCGAATCCGAGAACAATTGTTACTTTTTGCCATATTTTATATGTGGCTCTGCCACTGTGCGTCGTGCAAATTCGCTGAAAAAATATTTATTTGATTTCTTTTTTGTCACAGAATTCCAGCACATCGCTTGATACTCTCAGCGGCAAGCCCTTATTTTAAAGATCTTTTCAAAAGCGACAAGGGCCTAACTCCGGTTATTGAATTAAATAACATAGACAGTGACATCTTTGAGCTTTTAATAACATTTTGCTATACCGGCAAAACGCTCATAATCATCGAAAATGTGGATGTAATGCTGAAGGCAGCCATGTATTTGAAATTGGAAGAGGCGGTGGTCGGTTGTGTTGACTATATTTTGCAGCATATATCTGAGTATACATCTGCAGCGGGCATATTGTTTAGAGCGTGAAACTCATTGTGTACCACTGTATGAGAAACTCTTGGAATATGAAATAAATAATTTTATGGAAGTGAGTTATACGAGTATTGCTTTTACTTTTTTTTTTATAATTAGATATCGCATACTCTCTCAAAATAGGCGGAACTCAAACTTGAGATCCCGAAAAGCAATAGACACAAAAACGCATACAAGAGTAGTGTGCCAGTTAGAGATTATAATAATGAAAAAATTGACATTAATTGGCGATAAATCCTACAATTTGATTTATAAAAAAATTAACAAA